CTCAACAACAAAAAGACAAATAACCCAATTAAAAGAAATGGGCAAAGGATATGAACAGGCACTTCACCAAAGAAAACATTCAGGCAGCTAACAGACACATGAGGAAATGCTCACGATCATTAGCCATTAGAGAAATGCAAATCAAAACTACAATGAGATACCATCTCACTCCAACAAGGCTAGCATTAATCCAAAAACCACAAAATAATAAGTGTTGGAGAGGCTGTGGAGAGACTGGAACACTTATACACTGTTGGTGGGAATGTAAAATGGTACAACCAGTTTGGAAATCGATTCGGCGCTTCCTTAAAAAGCTAGAAATAGAAGTACCATATGATCCAGCTATCCTGCTCCTCGGAACATATCCTAGAGAAATAAGAGCCGTTACACAAATAGATATATGCACACCCAGGTTCACTGCAGCACTGTTCACAATAGCAAAAAGATGGAAACAACCTAGGTGCCCATCAATGGACGAATGGATAAACAAATTATGGTATATTCACACAACAGAACAGTACGCAATGATAAAGAACAACAATGAATCTGTGAAACATCTTATAACATGAAGGAATCTGGAAGGTATTATGCTGAGTGAATTTAGTCAGTTGCAAAAGGTCAAATATTATATAAAACCACTATTATAAGTACTTAAGAAAAGTTTAAACACAGAAGAAAACATTCTTTGATGGTTATGAGGGTGGCGAGGGAGGGAGAGGGGTATTCACTAACTAGATAGTAGACAAGAATCATCTTAGGTGAAGGGAAGGACAGAACACACTACAGGGGAAGTCTGCACAACTGGACTAAACCAAAGCTAAGAAGTTTCCCGAATTCAAGCAAACACTTGGAGGGACAGAGTAGCAGGGGCAGGGGTTTGGGGACGATGCTTTCAGGGGACATCTAGGTCAGTTGGCATAACAAAGCTTTTAAAGAAAATGTTCTGCATCCTATTTTGGTGAGTGGTGTCTGGGGTCTTAAAAGCTAGCGAGCGGCCATTGAAGATGCATCAATTGGTCCCAACCCACCTGGAGTAAAGGAGAATGCCGAACACCAATGTATTAGCCCAAGAGGCAAAAGGGCCACATAAACCAGAGACTGCATCAGCCTGAGACCAGAAGAACTAGATGGTGCCTGGCTACCACCAATGACTGCCCTGACAGGAAACACAACAGACAGCCCCTGATGGAGCAGGAGAAAAGTGGGATGCAGAACTCAAATTCTTATAAAAAGACCAGACTTAATGGTCTGAGACTGGAGGAACCCCAGAAGGCATGGTCCCCGGACTCTCTCTCAACCCAGAACTAAAACGATTCCTGAGGACAACTCTTCAAAGATTAGACTGGACTATGCGACATAAAATGATACTCGTGAAGAGTGTGCTTCTTAGCTCAAGTAGATACTTGAGACTAAATGGGCAGCTCCTGTCCGGAAATGCAATGAGGAGGCAGAGAGGGTCAGGAGCTGGTTGAATGGACACAGGAAATCAGGGGTGGAAAGGAGGAGTGTGCTGTCATAGTATAGGGAGAGCAATTAGGGTCACATAACAATGTATGGATAAATTTTTGTATGAGAGACTAACTTCAATTGTAAACTTTCACTTAAAGTACAATAAAATATTTACAACTAAAAAAAAGACAATCTAAAAAAAAAGAAACAATCTAAAAAGACTCATAACTGTACTAGGAATATATGTATATAGAGAGAAGGATGCCTGCTGGACTATAAAGGAGCATGCAGTCCTGTTCTCATCCCTGCTACTACCTGGCTTCATCTGCACTCTTACGATAAATTATTTATTTTCTACATGCACAAACACAAATTTCATCTAAGCAGTTCTTATATCTTTTGGTGAGGATTCTCCAATATGAAGCCATTTGCATACTGAATGACACACACTGGGGGGACCTTTCTGAAAAATTTAACTTGAAAATGTATGTCTTCAATCTAACTTGGGACTGTTTTTACTGTTTCTGCTCCCAGGAAGGAAACACTAATAGCTAATGCTTACGGAATGTTTACTATGTTCCAGGCACTAAATCATTACAACAAACCTAAAAGTCTTGGTACTATTTTTATCCCCCTTTTAAAGGTGAAGAAATGAAGCTGAGAGGCTAAGTGACTTGGCCAAGGCCACTTGGCTATTAAGTGGCAAAGCATGGCTTCAGACTCAGGCAGTCTGATTCTGGAACCTGTCCTATTCATCACGCTGCTTTATTACCTCCCACTGCTAGAAGAAAAAGAATTATGAAGACATCTCCCAACTGTTGGAGATATTATTAGACATCTCTAACCTGCCCCTCAATGCCTATAATGCTTTTAAATTTCTCATTTTTGTAACACACAGTGCAGATAATGCACCTAGTACAGTGCCTGACACTTAATTTAACTCAATAAACATTAGATATTATTAAGACTTACACAGCAATAATTAGAACCCTTTTTCTTCTTCTTAAAATATTTTCCCACTCCAATAGTCACTCTCAATAGAGAAGACCTGATCTCACCCTCGCCTCATTCTTCACCACTCATTGAGATCACTTAACAGACCTGTCTCAAGGTAGCCTCACCTACAACTTAGGAGATCGCTTTTCCTACATTCATCCAATCACCTTGTTTCAGAGGAAAGTTTTTCTCCTCTCCAATGTACACCCTTAATTTAAACCCTTAATCTCAACCCTTCCCAACGCCCTACAAAGAATTTCCACCTCAAAGCCTGTTACCATCTCAAACCTAACACGTCTGTCCATTTATTCAATAAGCAATGGTTGAGCTCCTACTAAGTGCCAGACACTACGAAGTCTGTGATGAATAAAATAGGGCGCCTCCTTTCCATGAGCTCAGTGTAGTGGGGAATAAAAACAAGCTCACGAATGATAATGACACAAGTAAAATGCTATATAATTCCGGCAGGTCCTCGGGGCTTGGCCGTGTCCGCTACAAGCTACTAGGCGGAAGGTGGGGGGTGGGGAGGGAGATCGGGGCACTGTATGAAGAAGCCCGAGGATGAGTGAGAATATAAAAGAGGAAAAGGGCGAAGAAGGGGTTGCCGTGGGTGGCTTAAGGGACGAAAATGGGCGCGAGGCAGGCAGGGGTTGCTAAATGCGAATGGTCAGAAGCGAGATGACAGATGAAGGCGGTTCTGAAACCAAGTGGGCTCGCGCAAGAGAAGGTGCGTGCGTCTCACTCACTTCTGCCGCAGGCTCTCCTCCCTCTCCTTGTCCAGGAGGCTGGGCCACGGCTTGTCGCCCCCATAGGGGCGCGAGTAGCCGCCGTAATAGGCGGACGAGGAGGCAGACGCGAAGGGGGTGCCCCGGGGCCCAGAAGGCCGCTCGCGAGAGCGGGACCGCGAGCGGGAGCGGTAGGGCTGGTTTCGGGAGCTTTGGCTGAGGCTCCCCAGCTGATGGCTGAGGCCATTCCGGTCCCCGGACCGAGAGCAAGAGTGTGAGCGAGAGTGGTGGCCCCGCGGGGAGCGGGCGGCTCTGGAGGGCTTGGGGCTCCTCGACCGACTGCGACGCTTCCCCCCGGAGCCCGAGGCCTCCCCCTCAGGGGTACGCGAGCCAGACACCGGAGCCATTGCTGCTGCTGGATTCCCAAAGCCGCCGGACAAGGGGGCGCTCTCGCCAGCCTGGGAAGATCTCAGTTGCCTTGGCTCCCAGAAGCCGCCGCCTCGCAACCGCCCAAATCCGAGGAAACCTTGGAAACAGTTCTAGGTACGTCGGCAAAACCCTTCCCCGAACCTAGAGAGCCTCCGGTGACCGGAAAGCATATGTGTATCTGTGTAAATAAGCCGGTAGGGCAACCAGTTCCATGCCTCCTTCCAGTTCCGCATGAAGCTCCTGCAGTCCAAGCCGGACAGGAGATCGCGTCGTTTTTCGGCCTTGAACTTGAAATAACTGAAAGGAAGGACGATGGGTCACAGGGCCACAGGATATATTTCACAGAGCGGCCGTATTAACAAAACAGCCAATTCTGCTTGTGTTTCTTGTGAAAATATATATACATTTTTTTTCTTTCCAAGCAAAGTAAGGAGGGTTAATTGGAGGTGAGCTAATGACGCCTATCACCCTTATCACCAAGTTAGCTTAGAGGGCACAAGTTCTGTGTTAATGACTTGAACCTGATACACTCTAATTAAGTTTGCAGCCCAGAGAAAAACTGTACATTTATCCAAAGCCACCCATATCATTAGTTTGTTGTCTCCACCAATGAGCTCCAGCGAAACGAAATTGTAACTTCTCCTTGCGCAGCCGCTTAAATCAGTCCCATCATACGCTAGCCCAAGGAGCCCTGGTGGCACACTAATTTTAAGAGCTCAGCTACTAATCCAAGTGTCAGCGGTTGAAGCGGCTCTGCGGGAGAAAAGGTCTGGCGATCTGCTCCCATAAAAATCACAGCTTAGGAGAAACCCTGTGGGGCAGTTCCAGTCTGTTACATAGGGTCGCTATGAGTTGGAATGGATTCAACGGCACACAAACAATAACATATGCTAGACCAAGAATATATGGTTAAAGGTCAATGGGTCAATGTTTCTATTCAGTTTATACTATTTTTTAAGTGAGAGCATTCTAACACTAATTCTACTGAGTTTAATTGTTGAAGTCGTAATCGGTTTGCTGTGGAAATTCCAAATCCAGTCTGCCAGATGCTAGCTGGACTTTGGGCCTTTCCTGCTAACGAGTAACTTATCAGACATGTGAAAACTAATGCCAATTGTATACAGAAAAATCTCCTTTTCTGGAATTTAAGGGAAAGGTGTATGACATAATGTTAAATGGAAAAAGTGAGCCACACTATTAGATGTCTTCTATTAAAAAACGATTGGTCACAGGTCAAGGTCCAAGTGCTGAACTGAGTCGGAGAAGTTATGTGGTTTGGGATGAGGATAGAGGGAAATTTCTAATAAGAAAGTTTTCAGTGGAAAACTACTGCCTGACTTTTGTGGCACCAGGCTGTACATTTTTGCATCAGTTTTCTGTAAGAGCCAACTTTACAACAGTGGGTGGTCTGCCTGCCCCATGGCTGGTGAACATGCACTTTAGTTCCTGAGAGAAAACCCCCATCCTCACACCTCTGATTGGCATGATGTTCTCTGTTGTGTTCCCTGTCAGGGCGGTCATTGGTGGTAGCTGGGCACCACCTAGTTCTTCTGGTCTCAGGCTGATGAAGTCTCTGTCTGTGTGGCCCTTTCTGTTTCTTGGGCTACTACTTTCCTTGTGTCCTTGGTGTTCTTCATTCTCCTTTACTCCAGATGATTGGGACCAATTGATGCATCTTAGATGGCCGCTTGCAAGCTTTTAAGACCCCAGATGTCACTCACCAAAGTAGGATGCAGAACAGTTTCTTAATACGCTTTGTTATGCCACTTGACCTAGATGTCCCCTGAAAGCATGGTCCCCAGGCCCCGACCCCTGCTACTCTGTCTCTCAAAGCATTTGATTGTATTCAGGAAACTTCTTAGCTTTGGTTTAGTCCAGTTGTGCTGACTTCCCCTGTAGTGTGCTGTCCTTCCCTTCACCTAAGATGATTCTTATCTACTATCTAGTTGGTAAATAACGCTCACCCTCCCTCCCCACCCTTGTAACCATCAAAGAATGTTTTCTTCTGTGTTTAAACCTTTTCTTGAGTTCTTATAATAGTGGTCT